GATCTCTTGACCTTGTGATCCACCCGCCTCGGCCTCCCAAAGTGCTGGGATTACAGGCGTGAGCCACCGCGCCCGGCCTGCCTGGTTAATTCTTACACGACCTTAACTCAGCTCAAGTGTTATTCAACAAGCATTGATTGAGCACCAAGTCTATGCAGGCAATATTGGAGTCCCAGTGGTGAACAGGCAGACAGGGACTCTGTCCTCATGAAACTTTATTCTAATAAAACTTTCAATGAACTACAATATTGAGCTGAATGCTTCTCCCTCGACCTGTTCTTCCAGCAGCCTGTGTGTGCTCCATCACTATCTTTTGCCTGTTAGGCTGAAATCATCTTTCTGTCTCTCTTCTCTAATGGACTGTAAATTTCTTGAGGGTAGGGGCCATGCCACAGTCTCACAGTATTCTTAGTGTCCAGAACGGTGCTTAGCACTTGGTAGATTCTTAGTATGGTTCCCTTGTAACTCAACTATAGATTATGAATACTTGATTCCACTGCTCAGCATAAGCTCCCATTCTCAAAGAAAGTTTTCCTTGACCCTCCAGAACAAGTCTGCCATCCTCCTGATATGTCCCTATACTATCACATACTGTTTTTTCCCAGAATTTTGTACTCATAACTAATTATGTTTTCAACTATTTACATTCGCTTTTCTGTACTAAGTTGTAAATTCTATGAGTTTCAAGATAGAGCTATCACACTGCGTAGCCTATAATAGGTGCTCAATATATATTTGCTAACTAGAAAAGTGATGAATTTTCATGCTGGATAAAAATCCTGAATGAAGTGCTGAGGCCTACAGAAAAATCAGAGCCAACTGCCTGCTGGCCCAACGCCTGACTCTACCCATCTGTAAAATGGAGATGTTTCTGGGGGATAATATTGGATAGCAGATAAACTTTACATTAAAACCATATCAAATCAAATATGCATAAATAGATTATACAAAAAAGACAGGATTAAATAATTAAACACATCAGCTGCAGTTCCAGATGGGCTCTTAATTACGTATTTCAGGATGTGATTTTTTATTCCCCCACCAGACATAATAACCATTTTCTTCTCTTTTCTTTCCCAGCATCTGAGAGAGCAGTTCCTGAGCAAAACAAAACAACAGAAACAGGACAGGTAAAACATCTGTGAAGTATTTGACGTATATCACTTAAATTATACAAATTCACAGTAGTGGCTGGGCATGGTGACTCATGCCTATGATCCCAGCACTTTGGGAAGCCTGGAGGGCAGATCACTTGAGGCCAGAAGTTTGAGATCACACTAGCCAATACAGTAAAACCCTATCTCTATTAAAAATGAAAAAATTAGCTGGATGTGGTGGCACATGCCTGCAGTCCCAGCTACTCAGAAGGATGAGGCATGAGGAGCGCTTAGACCCAGGAGGCAGAGGTTGCAGTGAGCCAAGATTGCGCCATTGCACTCCAGCCTGGGCGACAGAGCAAGACTCTGTCTCAAGAAAAAAAACCAATCAACAGTAGAAGTTTGCAGAGATGAACTAGGAAAAGCAGGATATTGCTAAGTGGCAAAATTAATTGCAATGATTATGAAATAGCCCAAGAATTTGTAGACTTGTATTCTTGGCAGAAATAACCTTGATTGTTACTTCTGTGTGTGCTGATGCTTTGAAAAGCAAAAAGAAGAAAACATAAAAAAATGCAACATCATTGTGTGCTCCTTCTGCATGGCCCAGAATTCATGACATACTGCAGAATCAACACCTGATATCAATATTCCTCTTATTTTCTGGGGGTACTGTTTGTTTATTTTTATTATTACAAAAGTGATTCAAGCCACTTTAAGTGAAAGCTTCAGGCAGTACAGATGTCTGTAAAGGATACGTGAAGGTCCCCCATCCCCTCTTTCTTCTTCCCCATCTCTCTCTCAGACACTGTCTGTTGTCCTGCCCTGGTTGCTGTGCCCACTGTGTGTTACAGAATGGAACAAAGAGAGAGGGAGAAAGCATAGCCTGGTCAATGGAGATGGCATAGTCCCGGCAAGATGCCTCAATGCCCGCCTGCAGAGCAGCACCTCTCAATTTTTTTGGTGTCAGGGTCCCTTTATACTCCATTATTTTTTTTAAGACATAGTCTCACTCTTTTGCCCAGGCTGGAGTGCAGTGGCACAATCTTGACTCACTGCAACCCTCACCTCCTGGGTTCAAGAGATTCTTCTTGAACCCAGGAGGGTTCAGTGAGAACCTTGGTCGCAGTGAGCTGATATCGCACCACTGCACTCCAGCCTGGCAACAGAGCTAAACTCCATCTCAAAAAAAAAAAAAAGAGATTCTTCTGCATCAGCCTCCCAAGTAGCTGGGATTATAGGTGTGCACCACCATGCCCAGCTAATTTTTTGTATTTTTAATACAGATGGGGTTTCATCATGTTGGCCAAGCTGGTCTTGAGCTCCTAACCTCAAATGATCCACCCATCTTGGCCTCCCAAAGTGCTAGAATTATAGACATGAGCAACCACACCTGCCCTATACTCTTTTTGTTTTTAACTTGGATTTTACTTGTGTATGTAAATAGCAACATGAGTACAGGGAGTTCTAAGGCTTGTGGCTTATATCTAAGTGAAAGGACTTCAGATTCATTTGCTGGTAGGATGGCATTACCCAAGATAACAGAGGCCTAGTATAATTTTTCCTGGAGAAGAAAGTCCATTTAATACATTCAATGCTGACTTCTCTGCCATTTTTTTGTAAAAATACTGATTGACCATATGAAGTTTCTATTGCTTACCTATAACTGATTAAAATTTGCAGAGAATGGAATTTTCTACTTGTTTTCAGATGAATCCCTCACATTTCCTGGCTTTGGAAAGTTCTTCTTCCAAAATTCTTTCATGACTCTCTATCCTTGTAAGCCCGGGTCATATAATCTCTCCTTTCTGACCCTGTACAAATTCAACGGGTTGTTGCAGATAATGAATAGAAGCTGCTAATCTCATGAAACCAGGTGGAAATATCCGCTGCTTTATTTTTGAACCTCTAGCCAAAACAAGTCCAACAAGGCCAACCAAACCGATAACACCTAGTCCTGGAAAAAATCCAGCAGGCGCATTTTGGAGCTATTCATAACTGTCTCACCCCCATTGAACCAAACTTTACATCTTGGGCTTCATTTGGGAGGACCTTTCCTGACACCAACATGTATATAGCTCATGACAATGTCAAAGCTGAGAGATGCTTTTCTCAAGCTGGGTTTAGATTGGCCCTCGAGAACTCAGTAGAGTAAAAGCTCATAAAGCTTCCTGGGATTTGTGGGAGGGGAGTCCTTTTTTGGTGTTGCATAGACTTTGAAGGTGAGTAGGCTCAGGCTGGCCAGCCCCACGGTCCTCTGAACCACCTTGAACATGTTACCGGCAGTGGGGGCTCTCACAGGGCCATTTTATACTCTTGAAACTCAGTTTCTAGCCTGGGCAACATGGTGTGACCCAATCTCTACAAAAGTAAAAATGAAAAATAGCCAAGTGTGGTACCATGTACCTGTAGTCCCAGTTACTTTCGGAGGCTAGGGTGGGAGGATCACTTGAGTCCAGGAGGTTGAGACTGCAGTGAGCCTGGTTTGTGCCACTGCACTACAACCTAGGCAAAAGAGAGAGATCCTGTCTCAAAAAAATTAATAGTTCAGGTCTCATGGCACACTCCTGTAACCCCACTTTGGGAGGCTGAGGCAGGAGGATTGCTTGAGCCCAGGAGTTTGAGACCAGCCTGGGCAAAACAGTGAGATTCTGTGTCTACAAAAACTTAAAAAAAAATAGCCAGGCATGGTGGTGCAAGCCTGTAGTCCCATATACCCAGGAGGCTGAGGTGGGAGGATTGCTTGAACCTGGGAGTTCAAAGCTTCAGTGAGCTGCAATCGTTGCCACTGCACTCCAGCCTGGGCAAGAGCAAAACCATGTCTCTATGAAAGAAAAAAAAATCAGTTTCTTAAAACTGAGACTTTGCCTTGTTTTATTTTTGATTGTCTAGACTGTTCAGCAGAAAACACAGAGACATTTTTGCAATTAAAAAAATTTTTTAGGCCAGGTGTGGTGGTTCATGCCTATAATCCCAGCACTTTGGGAGGCTGAGGTGGGCAGATCACTTGAGGTCAGGAGTTCGAGACCAGCCTGGCCAACATGGTGAAACCCCATCTGTACTAAAACCCCAAAAATTAGCCAGACGAGGAGGCGAGTACCTGTAACCCCAGCTATTTGAGAGGCTGAGAGAGGAGAATCGCTTGAGCTTGGGAGGCAGAGGTTGCAGTGAACCGAGATCATATCACTGCACTCCAGTGTGGGTGACAGAGTGAGACTTGGCCTCAAAAAAAAAAAAATTTTTTTTTTTTAAATCCCAGCACTTTGGAAGGCAATGATGGCAGGAGGATCACTTCAGCCCAGGCATGGGAACATTGTGAGATACCATCTCATTTTTAAAATTAAAAAAAAAAATGTAAACTTTTCCTTTAGGTTCAGGTACATGTACAAGTTTGTTACACATGTGTCTGTATTTTAAAAAAATTTAAAAATCAATTCATTTAAAAATAACAAGAAGCCCACTTTGTGCTAATGTAACATGTTTAACAGCAACTAACTCTATTTTGAAAAGAATATTACTGAGAAAAATGAGTGAAAAAATTAGTGAGAAAAATGGCATTGTTTTACATTTCTTGCAAATCTCATTAATGTCTGGCTTAATAGGAGACAGAGGGATTCTCATCTCTGCTTTCCACATTCTGTATCAGTGAGAGCAATGACATCACACATCACATAGCCTAGGGAAAGTCTACTGTATATCTCATGAGAGAATGACAGGAAAAATGGCAAAAACGTCCCATGAAAATCATTTTGCTCTCATGAGCTCCACATCTAGACTTTGAGAACCACTGCTGTAAAAAATGGGAAATTAAGTTTCATTTTCTCTTTAATCCTGTTTTCCCTAGAAGCCTAAGTCAGCCATGAAAAGAGCAGCACAGGGCTAGGGAGACCTCAATGGATTTGAGCAGTAGCCATGAAAGGGATTTGACTATGGAAAACACAGCTCACAACAGTTATTTTTTATCCTCAGACTCCTGAGGCCCACAGCCCCTTATGCCTGATGTCTAACACTAAGGAAAATTTTGGAATATGGGTAACGTGTTTTAGATTTTCAGAGATTTTTGGCAAAAGATGGTGAAATGTGGTTAAACTGCTGGTGGTTGTAAGGTACCCTTGGGTGGGGATGTTATCCTGTGAGGGTGGTGTCTAGCAGTGACTGGGCTCCTCTCCTTGCCTGTGTCCCATCAGATGGATGGAATGCCCACACTCACGAAGGATGAAATAGTCACCTCCCAACTACTGATGGTCGTTGTCCCCTCCTTGGGATTTGTGCTGTTGGCATTGCTCGTGGCATTTATTTTCAGAGGTAAGGAGGCAGGGCCAGGTGATGGAGCACTTCAGAACCCTGATGATTGCAGGAGGATCTGGAGTTCTATCCACTTCCTTCCCCTTTCTCTCTCCGCAAAGAGGCTCCGTTTTGTCACTGTCTCCATCCCAGCCAAGGAAGTAACAAGTAAGCTCATTCTCCATAAGCGGCTAATGCCTCTGTGTATTAACCTCCTGGTAGAGCTGACATTTTGGAAAGGAAAAAAAAAAAGAGCACCTTCATTTATTGGACATTTCTGTGCCAGTCCTGATGGTATACTCTTGACATGCCTAATTCATTTTATCCCTATGACTGTCTTAAGAGGAAAGTATCATTATTATCACTATCTTTGTTCTATGGTTGAGAAAACCTTAGCTCGTCTCTTCTTTTGGCTAGGATTATTGCAGGAAGAAGACCATGAACGATTCCTGTTTTTTTTTGTTTTGTTTTTTTGTTTTTTTTTTTTTTTTGAGATGAAGTCTCACTCTGTTGTTCAGGCTGGAGTGCAGTGGCACGATCTCAGCTTACTGCAACCTCCGCCTCCTGGGTTCAAGTGATTCTTCTGCGTAAGCCTCCTGAGTAGCTGAGGCTACAGGTGCTCACCACCACACCCAGCTAATTTTTGTATTTTAAGTAGAGACGAGGTTTCCCCATGTGGGCGAGGCTGGTCTGGAACTCCTGACGTCAGGTGTTCCACCCACTTTGGCCTCCCAAAATGCTGGGATTACAGGCATGAGCCACCATGCCTGGCCTGATCCTGGTTTTCTTAGGTGTTCCCTGAAAGCAAGTCACAGGTGGCTTCAAGAGTAATGTGATTCCTTTCAAATAGTGCAAAAGTGCTTATATGTTCATGCCTACATTTTTCAGGGGACAAAGTCTATAGTTTTCATTAAATTCTCAAGCTGCTTCATGACCTTGCACCTCCATCCCACCCCACCCCTGCCCCCAAAAGTTTTTAAACACTACAAAAACGAGCCATGAAACAGAGCTTATGGTTTTCATGCAAATTATAGGCACATGGTACCTGGTGTTGTTGTAAAATGCAGATAAATTGGTCTGTACTCATTAACAAAAGCTGTTTCAGGGAAGTACATCAGAAGATGAGACTAGTAACCATCTCAGCGGATTAGAACAATAGCAAAACTTGTATATTTCAACACCTGCCCCAGGTGCAAAAGGAAATTTAAAATTTACTGGAATCCTGCTGTTAGCCTTCATACAAAGGCATGGTTACAGTTTTGAATTCTGAGTGTGTCTCATAAAGAAATGTTTACAAACCCAAGTGAGTATTTGAATTCTGGATAGGCAGATGACTCAAAATGAAATAGCTTAACTCCATTGCCCACATGTTGGAATGAGTTTGTAATTGATGAGCACTGACTGGTCTAAAACAGCAAGCATTTGACCTGGGAAAGGGAATGGCTTTTTCTGCCAAAGCCAGACACTGGTTCTCGCCTTTGGCCCATGTCTGCTTTTTGGGAGGCAGCACTGGATATCCCCCAGCATTTTGCATGTTCTATCCACCACAGCCACTCTGCTCACACTGCGGCCTTGTCTTTTCAGAGAAACTCATGGAACTCAATTGTTTGCAGAGGCACACGAGGTAATTTATCTTGCATGAATGGTGGTTGTAATGATTGTACAAGCTGTTACAAATGATTAGCTACTACTCAGTGGTTTAATGACTTGAGCTTGTGTTCTGATTAAACATAGAATTGGAAAGATGTGACATTAGAAGTGAAAGTTGTGCAGATTTAGCTCACATTAACCTGTGTCTTGGTTAACACTGTGTCTGAGCAAAATGCCAATACAAAGGCAGGTGGCATTAATAGAAGCATAGCATGCAAAGGAAAGAAGGTGATACAGCACTCTGTTCTGTTTGAAATTTTTTGTTTACCTATGGGTAAATTAGTTTAAGAGGACATTGTTAAACTGGAGTTTATTGAGGAGAGTTGGCAATATGGAAAATGAAAAAAGCATGTAGAATATTATTCCTGGGAGTTGGTTCCTCTGCCCAATTAGATCATGGGAACAGCTTTTTATTTTGGGGCCTTTTTAAAAAGAGTATTTGAAGATTCTCTAGTAGGGGATTTTAGCCATCTGCCCTTTTGGAAAAGAAATGAAAAGACTTGGTGTAAATTATCAATGAAGGCCTTGCCTTCACTAATTAATTGCATTAATAGTGTCATATGTATTAACAAATAGGAAAATTGACACCCAGCAAAGTGACCTTTCAAGGTCATACTTAGAGACCTTTTGGTAAATAAATATATTAAATCATGCTTTTAGATTTTGCTAAGAAATTTCTTTTATCTCCTTATTATAATAGATTGGCAGAAACTCTTTTCCCCTGCAGCCCCAGTTTTCCAGTCTGTAAAATGTGGAGCTTAAATTGAATGAACTGTGAGCCCTTTGAACTTTAAGGGTAATTGGATTGTAACTTAGCAGGATCTGTCTTTTATTTTGTTTTCTAGTCTTGTGTTTCCCATTATCAGCCTCTCTCTTCTGTTTACAGGCTAGGCAGCACTGGAGATAGTAAAAATGTCCTCAGTGATACGCGGCATGGAAGTGAAGAGGAAGATGGCTTTTTCACCCTCTAACATGCTACTTTTCATTAGGCTTGAGAATGGGGTCATGAAAATTGAAGTGTCAAAATAAATTAGTAGGTTTACTTTTTTTGTTTGTTTCATAAAAAAGACTCACTTACCCGGTGGATGTCACTGATACACTCTTGCTTTAGTTTCACAAATGAAAGGTACTCTAGAGACAGCACCTTCTCTGTCCATGCTTGAATCATCTCTGTAGAAGTGATCTTTTATACTATACTAGAACACTTTCAGTGATGGTGAACTCCTTACCTCACCCAAGGGAGTCCATTCAATCTCAGAGCAGTTCTGAGATTCAGAAATATTTAAAGCAAAATCTATCTCCTGATGACCTCTGCCTATGGATTCTAGTTAAATTCATTGTGCCTATACAGAACATGTCTTTATTAAGGGCTAGTGTTGTGTGAACTAACAGGACAAAAATTCTATAGCCTCCATCAGTCAAGTAATAGACTGATTTCTTTTCTCTCTTAAAGGTAATGTCAAGAGAGTAGAAATCCAAAAGATGGCTACCTTTGGAGAACCATGTACTTATTCCATTAATTTGCTATTGCCCTAAGCATGCTGGGAAATACTGGAGAGCGGTTAACTCTTCAGGTATTGGAAGGAGAACCTCATGTTTCTCCAAGTTTCCTTGCTTCTGGGATGCAATTTCTGGTCCTTTTGTTACCCTAATTACCTTCGTCTTGTATGTGTTTGTATCTCTCCTTTTATGCCCAGCTTTCAGAGTTCAGTGTCTCGCTGCAGGGATGATAGGAGCAGCACAGAGCCTATACTTCATTAACAAGGCAGGAAATGACAAGGAGTCACACCATTACTTTGACTCACTTCTTTTTTTTCTTGAGATGGAGTCTCGCTCTGTTGCCCAGGCTAGAGTGCAATGGTGGAATCTCGGCTCACTGCAACCTCCACCTCCTGGGTTCAAGCAATTCTCCTGCCTCAGCCTACCGAGCAAATAGCTAGGGTTATAGGTGCCCACCACCACGCCCAGCTAATTTTTGTATTTTTAGTAGAGATAGGGTTTCACTGTATTGGCCAGGCAGGCCTCAAACTCCTGACCTCAGGTAATCAGCCGCTTCAGCCTTCTAAGGAGCTGGGATTACAGGCTTGAGCCACTGTGCCCAGCCAACGTTGACTCACTTCTAAAACTCCTAAATTTTCTATTATTTTCTTTTAACATTTGAGTGTCTTTAGAGTTGACCATAGTGTCACATCTTAATTCTTGCTTGGGGGATTTAATTTTGAAACAAAAGAGTCCATGGGAGTAAAATGTGATGAATGACAGCAATATTCAACCAGGGGCAGTGCTTAGATGCAAAAGCAAGGCAATACAAGTAAGTTTCTCTAAATATAATTCATGGAAATGTGCTCCTCAGTAACAACAGGTTTATTTTAAAACTTTATTTATTTATTTATTTTTTTATTTTATTTTAAAACTTTAGTAACTACTAACATGAGGAACCCTGGGAGAGAGATTAAAACAAACAGTTGTTGAACGAATGAATAAAAAACATGTGTGCCTGAGTGAGAGGGGCTTCTGGCTGGGTAGAAATGTGGGAAGTAAGCCATATCTGAAAGACATTTCTGTGAAGAACTTCCCAGCATGTTGATAGCAACATTAATGGAATGAGCACTTGGTTCTCCAAAGGTGTCCATCTTTTGGATTTCAGCTTTCTTGACATTACATTTAAGAGAGAAAAAAATCAGTCTAATCACTTGACTGGTGAAGCCTATAGATTTTTTGTCCTGCTGATTCACACAACACTGATCCAGCAGTTAGTAAAAATCCACCTCACCTGGGCACTTGGAATAAACTGGCCCAGGGCAGCCTGACTTCTGACTCGTTCAGTTGCTGTTGGGCAGAATGATTGGCCCCAGTGATAAAAACAATGAGCAGCAGATTGGCAGTTGTTTTTTTTTCTTTTCTTTTTTCTTTTTTGTTTTTTGAGACAGAGTTTCACTCTTGCTGCCCAGGCTGGAGTGCAATGGTGCAATCTCAGCTCACTGCAACCTCTGCCCCCAGGGTTCAAGTGATTCTCCTGCTTCAGACTCCGAGTAGTTGGGATTACAGGTGCCTGCCACCATGCCCATCCAATTTTTTGTATTTTTAGTAAAAATAGGATTTCACCATGTTGACCAGGCTGGTCTTGAACTCCTCACCTTAGGTGATCCACCTGCCTCAGCCTCCCAAAGTGCTGGGATTACAGGCGTGAGCCACTGCACCTGACCTTTTTTTTTTTTCTTTCCCTCAGGTGAACTTGGCTTTTGTTAGCTTAAGATACAGGTATTGATTGACTTACGACCTATGCAACTTATGACCATTCGACTTTATGACCACAATAGCTAGCCATGACTGCTCCGCGTCTGGCAGCGCAAACGTTGCCCAGCTGGGCGTACGACAGTGCGGACCAGCTTCCGGCAACACTACCATCTCCGCGTGTACCATTTCAACCATACATATAGCCTACTCAACTTACGACCAAATCGTGTTATGACCGGTCTGCCGGTCCCAATCATGGTTGTAAGTCGAGCACTAGGTGTACCTGAAATGAGTTGGTCTAATGTGCTAAACTCAAACATTTGTTTAGAAATGTGGGGGAAAGTGGGTCTAGAGTCAGGTTCAGGACCTGAATTTTCCCATCTGGAAAAAAGTGGGGCTAGATGGCTTTGTGTATGTAGTCAAGTTAATGATACACCCCACCCTAACTTCTCATGCTCCCTATCCATCTTCCCAAACCACTGCCATTATCAATGTCGTTACCAACTTGGGTCTGACTAGAAAAAGAAGACAGCAGTTACCTCCTAAACAGAACATTTAAACTCAATGAATATTTTCCTGTTTTGCAAAGGGCTATCTTCAATCAATTCACAAATATATTTCTGAAACTCCTTGTTCAGACTAAGAAACACTGACAAGAGCAATCATACTAGTTTAGAACTGGTGATGGCCTCCAGGAGCCTCTGTCCTAGTAGGTCTCAATGTTAGCTGAACAATCAACTGGAGAGCTTTTAAATGCCAATTCCTGAGTTCTACCCTTTAAGAGATTCTTTTTGTAATTAGTCTGGGATATGACTTGGGCATCTGAATTTTTGAAAAATGTCTCGAACTGGTTCCAATGGAGAACCAAGGTCTACAAAAAAATTCTGGTCTAGTCTGGTGGCTCTCAAACTATGCACTTCAGACCAGCAGCCTTAGCATCACTGGTACTTTATAGAAATGCAGATTCAGGTCCTTCACCCCATATCTCCAGAATCAGAAACTCTGGGGTAGAGCCTAGCAGACTGTGTTTTAACAAACCTCCAGATGATTCCGATACGTGTTAGAGTTTGAGAAATGTTGCAGGTAGTAATTCCTAACAGATGGATTGAGAGTTCAAGAAAAGAATCTCCCTTTTACCAGGGCTGCGTGGTGGTGGGCTTGGCCAGACAGAGGGTCAGGAGCTTCCAGTACCAGCAGCAAGGATCCTGCTGCTTCACCTCCTTTAAGCTGATAATGCTTTTTGCCTGGATTCTTGCAGTACCTTCCTAACTATAATCTCTGACTTTACTCCTTTTCCTCTCTAATCTGTTCTCCATGCTGTGGCAGAGATACCCTTTTTCAATACAGGTCTGGGATTTCTATCTCCTGACTTCTAGCCCTTTTCATCCTTGGCCCCTAGACCTACCTAGAAGCAGCACATCTAGCTCTGCCTGGGGCAGAGGTGGCAAACTCCATTGACTTCAGAGGCCAGGCAGCTGATACAGTTGAGGGAGTCAACAGGAGATGACGTGGCCCATGATAAATTGAAGTGCGTGTATGTCCACTTAAGGGCGTTAAAATTTAAAATTAATTAAAATAATTTCCTGGGCAAGCAAAGCATGGCTGTGGACTAAAACAAGGTAGCCAGTTTGAGACTGGGAGTAGGGGGTAGGTTTTAGCAAAAGATGAGTTAAAATATTTAATTCTTTTACCGAGACTCCTTGATCAGAGAAGTCTGTGGATATAGTTGTTCCTCTCATTCCCTCTTTGTGTAATCAGGATGAATTGTTAGCATGTATAAATAACTCTTTAGCATCTATTGTATGTGGGGCCCGGGAGAGAGAATTGCTTCTTTTTT